GACAAGCAGTTTGCTATTTCTGCTGTTGTGCTGTGGTTGTAGTAGCACAACAACAACAACTAGACTAACTACTACTACGACTACTACTACTACTACTACTACTACTACTACTACTACTACTACCACTACCACCACTACCATTACGACGACTACTACTACTACTACTACTACTACTACTACTGCTACTACTATTACTACCACGACGACGACGACGACGACGACGACGACGACTACTACTACTACTACTACTACTACTACGACTACGGGATACTACTACGAGTACTGCTGCGACCACGGCTACGACCTACTCCGACGACTACAAGTACTGCTACAACAACTATCGCTACTCCCGCTGCTGTAACTGCTGCTACTGCTGCTGCTACTGCTACTACGGTACTTCTGCAACTATCGCAACGACTACTGCCCAATGCTGCGACCGCAACAAATCTTAAACACATTGTCACAACGTTTGTAAATATTACTGAGTCTCATTCTGATGGAATATTCGTAAAAGATACAGTCGCGTATCTCCTGTAAGATAACCTGGGGCATGTAAGATGTAAACGTGTGTACATCAAGTTCCGTCTGACGATGTCTGACGTTTTACATGGCTGCCATGCCAATGAGGTCTTCCTGCGGGTGGAGGGCCGCGATGGGCCTTGCAGTCATGCTTGATGCTTCAAGAGGCGGAAATCTTTGTTGCTCTGCGATGCTTGGCCAGGTCTACTGGCTGGGTATTTACGACTCAGCCGGGTCCTGCACCCTTTCTCAGGCGTGGGGGGTAGTTGTGCTTGCCTCTCCAGACCTCGCAGAACACCAGGCTTTTGGAAGTGGAGGTGAAGAAGTGCAGCTTGTGCCCAGGGAACCGAGGTAGCTCAGAGACCGATATCAGACTGGACGCGTCCAGTGCAGGTACTTCCAGGTTCTTGCTACCCGTGGCTGTCCATTGCGCTCTCGCTGCTCTTTGGTCGATGCTGCCAAGGCCACACTCGTTTGCCTGAAATTCTTCAAGCTTGCCTTCAGAACAGCTTCCCATGACTTTGGGCCCCTCTGAGATGCCGGAAGGTGGGCAAGGCCGAAGCAGGGCAGCTGCTGCGAGTCGTTAGCCGTTTGGAGGCCGGCATGATCCTGTTCGGTATCGTGCGTGCTGGCAGTGGCTGGCAGTGGCTGGCAGTGGCTGGCAGTGTGCATGCGGATCATGCGGAAGGTGGGAGGGACACGTTGCTTCGGCCTCGAGAGCGGCGAGTGGGTCGTGTGTCCCAAGGAGCTCCTTGGCTCATGGCCGCGTGCAAAACTTCAAACGCGCTTTGGGTTGGTCAGGACCTGGAACCGCCTTTGAAAGGTCCCCTGGAAGTGCGTAAGATGAACAACGAGGAGGCGGTGGCTTCCTCGGCTCCTGCAATGTGCTGGGGAGACTTCGAGCTAACTGTGCGCAGTGTGAGCTAAGATCCCAGGAGGTTCAGGCCGAAGAGAGTGTGATGCTCCGCAAAGAGCCGACCGACCTTCCATGGGCAGCCACCAAGAAGGCCAAGCAAGGGACACCATGCCATGTGCATATGGTAGGGAGTGCTGCTGTCGTGCTCTGCCACAGGTTCTGCTTCCCAAGTCCAAAGTGCTTGCCATTCGCAGGGCGTGGTGCCTGCAGGCACTCATGAAGCCATCATGCCCTTGCTTTGTTATCCGAGGCCCATTTGCAGGGAGAGATGTGGATGGAAGTCATGCAGTTGGGTGGAATGTCTGGTTGGGTGGCTTCGGCATGATTAAGGTGCACTTTTGGGGAAGGGAGGACAGCGCTTTTCATGCTGCCAGATGCCGGCTTCGGACTTGCAGCTGGAGTTCTCGGTTTCCGACCTGCCTCGGCGAAGTCGATGAGATCGCCCGGTGTACAGCGCGATAGCTCTGGTAGCTCTGGGTGCCTCCAAAGGAGGTAGTCCCTTGTTGCAGCAGATCGCTGCTTGTTAATCCTTTCCTGCGACCGGTGTACCTTGTTGCATTTCTTGGTCGCCAGAGCGGGAGCGCCTCGCCGTTAACGAGTCTTGGTCATGTGAAACACTGTGATGGGCCCGGTGTCGCTGCAGCCCGGATTTGATGTGGAGCATGCTGCCCGTGCAAACGGACGAAGGGGACTGTTTGAGATTGAGGTACTCGCCGGAGGCTGCCTACGGCTTGGCGCAGAAAGGATTCTGGACGTCAGACACGCGCTTGCCTTGGGCAGTTGATACGAAAAGCTGCAATAATGTCGTCGTCTTGTATACAGACCTAACTCTGAAGCTGAACCTTGGCAGTTTGGAAGGTGCGATGAAAGTCGAACAGTTACTCCGTGCAACGGTCCAGAGAAGTTCATCGAAGTGCTGCCCTTGGCCGCCACAGCAAGGTTCTGATGGCAGCTGCGGTGAGTTCAAGTCTCTGCCAAGGTGGTTTTCAGCACGGCCTTGAACCTCAGAAAGGTGAGGATACAGCAGGCAGCCTCCAATCATCCACAGGACTTCTTGGCACGTGCTCTTCACAGCAGAGTGGTGGATATCCGCTGGCCAGGACTTCCTGCGCAATGGCACCTTGGAAGTGGGTGGGTTGCCCCTGCCACGCGTGGTCAAGTCCTCACCAATTTCTCAGAATCCACCCCACCCGGGCGTGGTTTCGTCAATGCCACGAAAGGCTGCAGACCAGCCGCATTGCGACAGCTACCAGGCTATCGCGCCGGTCGTGCAGCGGGAGGCCGGGGCAAAAGCAGACAAAACGATGGACGCAGCTGGTGCCATGGGCAGGTCGCTTGGTCTGGGCTGCTAGCTTCTCCGGCCCACTGCCTTCGCATCAGGCGAAGAACGTGTGGCCTTTCCATTCCCAGCTGGAGTCTGCAAGCCAAATCGCTTGCAGGATGCTCGCCGCCCAGAAGGCCATTTGGAAGGTCCCGACTTCGTTGTGTGTGTTTGTTACTGGAGGAGTGGATCATGCTGAAGTTTGTGGAAGTCTCCGCCGAGGAGCGCAGCGACAGCGGCAGATGATTCACCCCTTGTGGCCCTTGTGGCGATTGAGCCATCGCCAGCCGCCAGGTGGGGCCCGTCACACCGTCAGCAGCAGCCGCCCCAGCCGCCCCAGCCGCCCTAGCAGCCCAGCCTCAGCCGCAGCCTGTCAAGGCTGGCCCTGGGCCTTCGGTAGAACCACAAGTTGAGATTGTGCGGTGCGTGCGGTGCAGGCCACGCCTCCCAACTATCAAGAGCTGCAGCGAGAGCTCCCAGCGGCTTCAACTACCAGCGCCAGAGACGATCAGACTGTGACGGAACCCGCGTGGTCACTGACATTCGAGCCGTCCGAAACCTCAACGGTACCGGCGGCGTTGGCGTCGACAACGCTTTCCATTCCACTGTCCCCACTGTCCAGGCCGGAAACCTTGCTCGGAGCACTGTCAAGCCCATCCATGTGTCTCCAAGGATTGAGGAGCCCTCCTCGACTTATCGGGCACCCTTGGCCAAGTTGAATGCAACCTGGTGGCAGCTTCTCCGAGCACAGAGCGAGTATTCTATGTTACCTATGGATCCGCCGCTCTGCCATGCAGGCAATCGTGCACAGCATGGAGGACAAATGCTCATCAGGACATGGTAGCTGGCATGCTAGCTGCTCATGGCGACAGGAGCCGAATCAGGAAACACTGGCGTGCATGCTCGCCTTTTCAGCACTCAGCTGAGCAGACTCCTTGTCTAGCTTGGTTTCATTGCGTCGCTATGAGTCAGGTCGGACTGCTGGCAGGAATCACAGGATCGGTGTCCTTGCGTGGAACCTGCGGCAGCTACTGTCAAAATTGACCTCTCGTGAAAGGTTGGGCGAACGTCTTCCTCTGCCAAGCCCTCTCGCTTCCGGGAGTGCACCTGGTGGGCAGGCACCTTGTGGTGGGTTTGGATTTGGGTGGTGGCGCTTTGCAGACTCCTGTGTTCTGAGACTCCCCTGCTGGATGTCTTCCTTCGTGCCCGCCGGGAGCCCAGCTAGGCACGGACAATGGACCCTCTGCCGTTCGGCCTTGCTTTCAACAGGCGGTAGCAGCGAATGTGCTGTAGTAGCAGCAGTAGCAGGTTGCAGTAGCAGCAGCAGGAGCTGTAGTGGTAGTCGTCGTCGACGTGGTGGTGGTGGTGGCGGTGGTGGTGGTGGTGGATGTTGTGCCGTCTGCTGTTTCTGAGTGTATTTAGTGCACATACAATACATACAAGTCGGCATGCAGGCATACGCGCATGCATGCATGCATTGGGTCGTGCGGCAGTGCCTTCCCTAGCCTTGGATGGATTGCCTCGCCTTGCCATGCCTTACCTGACAATGCGCCTCACGACCCATGTCATTACACTTCTTTTCTTTTGATTCTGTGTGGTTTCAGTAAACTCAGTACACATCATGAAGACATTAACATGTAGCATATAGTTGCATGCATAGAAGAGGATGCATAATGCAGAACATGACATATGGCATGCTCGAATGTAGCGTAACATATCACAAGTGAACATTGTCACATGGTGTACCAGAACAGAATATAAATCATTGCACGATATGACATAAGCTAAGGGATTACTAGACAACACAATGACACGGTTTAAGATCATACTATAGCATAAAACAGCCTGTGCGAGGCCATCGACTCCATGTTGTTCCTCTCCCTGGAGCCACCGAGCGCAGGAAGCCTGGAACTGTTGCATAAACCAGTGATACTTCTGATTCTGAGTTCCCCGAAGCTTCTGTTGAGGTCCACTGCAGTTTCCGGGAGAAGGCGCATCACAGTACAGTCTTATGAGCTGCTGCCACGTATGGTGTTGGGACACCAGTGTTGAGGAGCGGAAGCTGGCCCGCAACACGGCCTCCAAGGCAACTGCACCTGACGGGTGCAACGTGGTGCACAGGTTCTGCTTTTGGGAGTCAGGTGCCTCTCGTTGGATGTGGTGGAATGAGTTTGTGTTCTGGCTTTCGTTGGCAGGCTTCAGTTTGCAAGACTACCACCAACATTTGCGTCTAGAGTCTAGACTGCCTTCTTCAATCGCATGTGGTGCCTGGGTCCGCTTGACATGCGTTCTGTCATGTTGGTTGACTGTCGCTTAGTCTCTTGTGCGTCTGGTGTGAATCGAGAAGACAGGCAGAAACCGTCCACAATTCCTTGCATCCCGCCAGATGCATCTGACCTGGTGGAGCAGTTTGCTGGTGATGCACCAGGTGCATTTCTGGCAGATCCCTCCCTGCATTCGAAGCCGTGTTTTCCTGTGCAAAAGGCACCAGAAGCTCGGCGGCTGTTTGGAGCCCGAAGCTCCCTGTCTGCCCCAGCGGATTTCAGATGAATAAGGCTCTTTCTCTGGCATGTCGCTGTAACCGGCAGTGATACCGTGCTGCTGGATTCCTTGGGCTTGGATGCTATCCTCATGCTATCGCAGTCGCCGGGAGAAGAGCCAAGCTGCTGAGGTTGGGAAGAAGTGCAATCTCCGGCGAGGCCAGGAAGCCAGGAGATCTGCAGTCTTTCGCATCTTTCGACCTTTCGGGCCTCGGTCCGAGGCGCTCAGATCCTGCACGATTCCAGGCCGCGTGATGCGAGCATGTCTTTGCGGGGGCCAGGTCACCTTTTGAGAGGCTTCAGGGTCGCAAATCTCTTTCTGCCAGAGCAGGTTGTGGGATCTGCGCATCTACGCAGGCAGCGCCTCCAGCACGCAGGGATGCGCATTGGCAGATTGCCAAGCATGATGGTATTGGTCGGCAGTGGTCTTGCAAAGTGATACCATAGAAGGCTGTGCACCCGCAGAGAAAATGGCAAATGGCCCATGGGTGATGGGACCATTGAAGTGATCAGCGCGCAACGGTTTGTCTCAGAGAGGTGGTTGGCCATCGGTCTGTCTCTTCGTTGTGAGCAACAAGCAGCCATGGACAAAGCGGTGGAGGCGCTGAGATAGCTTTCAAAAGGCCTTGTGTGGACTGTGCTGGCTGGTGCTCAGTCCACTCGGTACAGGTGCTGAAGAAGCTCCTGGCTGCAGGGGATGCTTCCTTGGTGGCGAAAGACTTACATACTCGTAACTGTAAACTTGTCGGGTAGTCCGCCTCGGCCCAGAAGAGTGCACGAGACACGAATGGAGGAGGTGCGAAGAGGAGATCGCCGTTTGACATAGAGAGCGGTAGAGCGAATCCATCCGGAAGCGCGAGCACCGAAACAAATGGAACTCTGCGTCTCTGAATCGTAAAGCCAACTGATTAACCCTCCGACGAAGGAAGCTTTCGGGCCCGCTCGACAGATCGAAGGCAGACAGAAAGGCGAAGTCATGGATCACTGGAAAACTATCGAAAGCGCCGGCCACGGGCAAATCGACAGCCCAGCAGACCACGATGCATGAGAAGGCAGGTCGAGCATTCGGCTGGCAGAAATCATGAATCAGGCCCAGTTCCGTCATGTGGATTAGGGAAGCTTGCGTACAGTGTCCAAATCAGGTCGTCGCTCACCTGTCGGACGAGCTGCCCGAACAGCGGTCCAGGCAGCCAGCCTGCAGCAGCCTTGATTTCATTTGCTTTACTGTTCGATGGATTTGCGGAATCTTGGTTGCCTTGCCGCCGTGCTTTTCGGCTTTGCGCCAGGCTGTTCAAAACTAGAACCCAGAACCCAGCATGGCCCAATGAATCCCGCCAGCTGCCTTGCAAGACCAGAGACAAAGCATGTGAATGCGATCTGTCTATGCGGGATGGCCCTGGCGGTGCACGCGCAGAGCTCGTGCAGTCGCTGGCTCGCCATCGACACGGACGCAGGCGTAAGCATTCAACTTGTTCTTCTTGTTCTCAAGATCCTTGCCGAAGGTGTGGATGACGCGATTGCGATCTGCATGGCCCTGCAGCTGGCGGAGAGGTCAAATTTCGAGCTGCTTGGCTGGCTTTGACAGCAGTTTCAGAAGGGGAGAAGTGTTAAGCGAGTTCTGGAGCGGCGACAAGTATGCCCGTGACGTGTTCCGCCTGCGAGGCTTAAGCTCATTACGACCTGCTTTGGAAATTGCTCCCTGGAGCAGGCTCGGGGACATCTGTGAGAAGTTTCATGCCGGTGCCATGCCTGTGCCATGCAAAACTACTGCAGCCTCGGCAAAGGTGACGGTCAACGTGGCAAAATGTCTCGCGGCCGCGAAGCCTGCACAGCGGCCGCTGGTTGCCAACGGTGCTGCGCATTGCCTTGCTGGCACCGCGCGACCCTCAGGGGTTTTTGTGCAGCAAGCTCCAAGTGAACCTCCTCGACTTGAGAGCAAGAATGAAGGCCATCGATGCCAGCCACTTCCATGGCCACGACGGCTTAGGCCCGGGCCGGTGAGGGGAATTTCCGCTTTCCTGGTGTGTCTTGTCAGGCGATGCGCAGACGCCCGAGCCTCCCGCGGAGCTGCTGCCAGCAACCGGGGCTCCAGGAGCGGTTGCTGAGCTGCTGGCCTTGGCTCAGCGGGCGCGGCAAGAGGGCGCAGATCTGATCTTGGTCACCCTGGGCCGGGCCCCTACGAGCAATGGCGAGCTCAAAAGAGTCTGCGACGGTGCCGGGGCCTTGCGACGGCGAGGTCCCTTGACGAATCTGGCTCTGGCTCTTCGGGAGAACCCGAAGCTTCCAGAAATGCTCACCGAAGTCTTCGCATCTCGGACACAGCATTGCCAACGAGGCGGCTCATGGGTCAAAGAATGGGTGTTGCTTTTTGGACTTCAGGTCATGGGTTGCTGCGGCAATGGACGAGGCAACCATGGCCGTGCATGTGCCTTATCTGTCGGAAAAGCTCAGAGCTGAGATGTTTCCGGGCGCAACTCCGAGGTTACAGAGTTCAACGTGCATGCCGATCCGGAGGCTGCGGCCGAGGTCTTTGCTGCGCGTCTCATCCGTCATTGGGCCGGAAGGGGCCGGGGTGGGCAGCGGCGTGCTGGCGCTGAGACGGCGGAGGGGACGCGATGCGTCCGAAGTCCGAGGTCCTGGGAGCGGCTGACCGTGGCATCCTGGGAGCTGACGGTGCTGGCGACGGTGCCCTGGCAGCGCTTCGACAGGTGGGTCCCCTCCAGCTGCCCCCCCCCCCCCTGCATGACAGCAAGATGACCTCGACAGGCTGCTGGCCTCGAACTCTGAGGCTCCCAGTCCCGCCGGCATGAGTCTTATCTTCAGGGGCACTTCGGCTCTCACCAGGTTGGCAAGTTCCTTGCTGCCATTGCCCACCTGCCTTATGTGCGAGACCCAAGCAAGCGCGAGAGATTCTCTGACGGAGAGGGAGAGGGAGAGAGGATTCCCTTCGGGGATCATCCGATAAAATTGCAACGATACAGAGAGGATTAGCATGGCACCTGCGCAAGGATGACACGCACAAATCGAGAAGTGTTCCAAGTTTTAAACGCTGTGCAAGCAAGCAAGCAAGATGCTAGCCCGAACCCGACGGAAGGAAGGAAGAGAGCGAGGTTCAAGAAATTGGCCACACAACTGGCTCTTCTCGGGAAAACCTCATTCCACTCGCGCCAACCAGCCCCAAATACTAGTTTCTTTTCAACACTCCTTCTGCTACTCGTGTCTTCACAAAATTCAAGAGGCAGGAGGCTCTAATTCGCAGGTTCTGTGCAGGGGAGTCTCGCTGTTTTCCTGCTCGAAGAAGCGGAGTGCAGTTTTTTCCTCCTGCTACTTTGACTGGCCAGGGGGATGGGACGTGTCGCTTTGACATCATAAAACGGTGGCAACTGATGGCCAGCCTCCTTTTCTGTGCTATCGTACAGACAAGCCCTTCTCCATGAATCTGGACAAGGGGGGGTGAGCGCCCGCTTGCCTCCTCTGTCCTGGTAGAAAGCGACGTCTGCTCGGGCTATGAGCTGCGCGCCTGAGGTGCAGAAGCGATCCACCACCTCCTGCAGTCGAGGCCGTCGATTGGTCCCGGTCCGCACACGGCCCTGCACGGAGCCGCTTTTTAGCTCATGGGAGGCCAGCTTGGATGCTGGGCGATCCTCGCTGCCTGGGTCCTGGACCTGTGCAGTCCGCTGCTACAGAGTCTGGAAGCCTCTGGCCGAACAGGCACAGACGGCGGCAGAAGGTACGCACATGGACAGTGTTCGGGCCTGCAGTTCTTAGGACTCTGGCAGCTGCGCTCGCTGCCCGGTGCCATTATCTGCGATGCCACTCGGCAGCGAAACGAACAGATGCTCAAGTCCAGGTTTTGGTCCTTTCATCGACGGTCAGCGAGAGAGATGAGCGACGGAGGGCACGACTTTCATCATGCTACTCGTCCGCTGCACCCGCCGCTTGCCAAGGCGATGATGGCATGCTAGCTCTACGCTGCCTAACTAGAGTAGGAGTCGCATTTGGCTGCCCATTGTGTTTCTTTGACGGAATGGTGAAGCTCATCGTGTTGTGTTTCTTTTCTCTCGTTTCCAGCTTCGAATGTCACTCTGGCTTCGGACACAAACGGGCTTGTCAAGGGCACTCGTGCTTCAGATTCATGGCATTTCATGGCCAAGACCTAGGAAACAGAGACAAATATCTCGGGGAGCATTCAGGAAGGAGAAGTAGGAAGCATCTACTACACGCAAATTGACTGATCGGGAAGAGGTGGGCTGGCCACGACCAAGGGAGACATGACTGACACATACCCAGTATCTTTATCATACAGAAGAAAGAATCGAAAGACAAGGGACCTACATGCTCATCAATGCCCTCCGGTGTCGACTCTCTTCTACACGAACCGAGCTTGTATTGGCAGATGGCACGGCCAGCTGCAAGATGGTGGGAAGAAAGAAGCAAGGAGTCCCCACACCCAGTCGAAGAAGCGGAAGCTGAGCCGCCCCGATTGCGTCCAAGCAGCGGGGTGTGCGCTTAGCGGGCTCTCGAGGCTCAAATCCAAAGAAGCCCACGCCATGCAAAGACCCGAGAGCCAAGGCGGTGGTCATGGCCATGGCCCTCCGCCCCGAGATCATCCTGCGAGCAAGCGCCGCGGTTGCACAACACATGTAGCGTGAGGTTCCGCGTCCTTGTCCATCCTTGCTAGCCTGTAACCAGGTGAGGTGCATGTGGAGATAGAACTGGGCGGCGCTCCGACCTTAGAGTTGTCTCCTCTTTTCAGCTATGTTCTGTAGCTGCTTTCTGACCAACAGGCCATCACCAGAGGGCAGACCGTGGTGGACCCTGTTTGCATTGACTGCCTGTCCCGGACGGGAGCTCTCGGCAGCCTCGTGCTTGCGCCTTGCAAGAGCAGGACTGGGGAACCTGCTTCGATGGTGTCCATCGTCCAAAGCACGTGCGCTGGGTGGAAGAGGCCCTCGAATCGAGCTCACCCGTGCTTGTTAGGTTGTGGGTTGAAGTCTTGATTAAGGGTCATGCTAGCGAAACACCCCATCGATATCCATCCAGCTGGCCGTTGCTCCGTTCAAGTGACTTCTTCCCGCAATCACTGCAACAAAAAGTGCCATGGCCACAAGTAGACCATGGAGAAGCTCGGTGCAAGTCTGGACCTTGGTGACCTGGCTGTCACATGTTTCTGCAGCTCCAAACATCCTCTTCATCATTGCCGATCAGTTTCGTTATGACTTGATTGATGAAAAGCGGACCCCTCATCTCCATGGACTGGGGCAAAAGGGTGCCACCTTCCTCAGGCATTACTCGTCAACTCCCAGCTGCACGCCTGCCCGTGCAGCCATTCTGACAGGTCGATCGCCTTGGAGGCATGGTATGCTTGGCTACGGGGTAGTCGCAGAAAGATATCCGCAAGAGCTTGCCAGAAGCATGGCTGCCGCAGGTCTGCGGACCAGTGTCGTTGGCAAGAACCATTTCGGTTGGAATCGGACATCGGGCAGACCCATCGCACATGAATTTAGTGAGTTGCAGATCTACGACGGGCTGGGAAATGGTTTCAAAAATGGTAGTGAGTTTGATGACTATGATCGCTGGTTTCAGCAGCGGATGCCCGGGCAAGATCCTTTGGCCAGTGGCGGCTTGGACTGGAACTCATGGCGGGGGGCGCCCTACGAGTACTCAGAGAGGCTGCACCCAACAGCCTGGACTGGCCTGTCAGCGCGACGTGTGCTTTCGAGTCTGTCTAGAGCGAGTGCGCCCTTCTTCCTGAAGGTTTCCTTCCACCGACCCCACAGCCCGTACGACCCCCCGGCTCGGCTGCTGAACGTTACGCCCTCTCCCGTTCGGCCACCGGCTCGAGCTAGCGACGGCTGGGACGCGCGCTTTCGGGAATGCTCTGCCCAAGGAAGTCGGGACGCCTGGTGCGGGGAAGTGGATCATGACCCCCTGTCCATGGCTAGGAGGTCTTATCAGGCCAGCATCAGCTTCGTGGATGAAGAGATCGGTTCGATTTTGGGTCTGATGGGCGAGCTCGGGATCTTAAGGAACACGTTCATTCTTTTCACCTCAGACCACGGGGACATGCAGATGGACCACTTCCTCTGGAGGAAGAGCTATCCCTACGAAGGGTCGGCACACATTCCCTTGTTGATGAAGTGGCCGGACAACATGCAGGCCGTGTGCATAGGGTCTCCGTACGCAGTAAGTTCTTGTAGTGCTCGATACTCGTACTGAAATCACACACGCATGTCGAATGTTGGGTGTGCTTGCTTACATCTTCTTGTTCTGCGGTCGGAGGCGGACTTCGTGGATCGGGGCAGCGTCATCTCGGCCGTGACCGAGCTCCGGGACCTGTATCCAACGTTTTTGGACCTTGTAGGCGAATGGAACACCTCCCACGAAGCAGACTTTGATGGACGCCCCCTGACCTGGCTCTTGAGACGAGGAGGAGCGGCCGAGTGGCGTCAGTGGGTCGACTTGGAGCACGACATTTGTTATAACGAGACGAATCACTGGAATGCACTCACGGACGGAGCCACGAAATTTATCTTCCATGCTTGCAGCGGCGAAGAGCAACTCTTCGACCTGGTTCGGGACCCGGGCGAGACCCGTGACGTGTCAAAGGACGCCGAGCGATTCGAGCAAGTGAAGCGATGGCGACAGCGCTTGATCGCCCAGTTTGATGCCGAGGGTCGCGGCCCAGAATGGGTGCAACACGGTATCCTGCAACGACGCTGCAGCTCCTGCCTCTACAGCCCCAACTATCCCGGCCCCAGTGCCGACTGTCACAAGGCTTCGACTCAAGGGGACCTGCAGATGGTCTGACTTTTGAAGGCTTGAGTCAAAGAGCGAGGTTTCTTTATGCTTGAAGCTTGGACTCTGCTCACTCCGTGCCCGCAGCTTCTGGCTCGAGGAGTCGAGCCCCACCACGTAAGCATGGAGCCCAACTCGAGCTTTGAGGCCAACTTCTCTTCGTGCCAGAACCCCCTCGAACAGAGTGTCAGTGCATAGACCTCATTGATGCGGCCTTGCCGTCCGAGATGCAAGACTATTCCCAGCCCCGGCTTAAGCTATACGTCGCTGAGCAGCCCCAAAAACACGCAGAGGGCGGCTTTACAGGGTTGTAAGTTGTGGCGAAGTCCGTGCGGACATCTTCGTCGCCATGCCATGATCTGCTTCGCTGCATGGAGGCTCCCGTCCTTTCGTGTTGTCTTCTCTGGTTCAAGCTCCTCAGTGTCGATGGCACAGGTGATGTTGATGGGATCCTCAAGGTTGCTCTCGCCAAGGCCTTATTTGTTCCAGGCGTTGAGACCGAAGACAAGCAATCGACTGTTAGTATTTTATCTGCAGCGTGGGCAACAACCTATCTCAGTGAAAACCTGCCTCGATGAGGCTCTTGGTGTTGCTGCCGCTGGCTGCATCAACGCTGTCGAAGTGGAAGGCAGCGGCTTTGGCGCCTTTGAACACGGTTCGTGCTCCAAGAAAGTGGATAGGAGCTGGAAGATTCGAAGGGAAGGCGGGCCCTGCCTGCTGACGGAGTGGTTTCGGGGCCTCGGGGCTGTGGGCATGCATGGCAGGGTGTACTACCTCAATCGTGCCACTGGTGCTACCGTCCGGCGCCTACGCTGCGAGCCGGTAGTTGCAAGTATCCTTGCGACCCGAATCTGACTCTGCCTTATCCGAGTCCTGGCATGCACCGCGGCAGTTCCCCGTGGTCCAGGGCAGCTGCCAATCTGCCGGGGCCACGGCCGAAATTGCCCCTCACGCTGTAGCAGGGAAAGAGTCAAGAAGTCGAGTTCTGCCCAGAAAGGGATTGCATTGCAATGCCAGCAGGCATGCGGTATGCAGACCTGCGAGAGCTGGCTGATCAAGAAGGCATGTGCTATCTGCTGAGCGTCTCATGCCGTGAAGAACCGCAGGCTGAGGTTTCTGTCTGAGTGTTTCACCTGCCAGGCGGATGGCTATGGCGCAGGCAATCGTGAGTTGCAGTGCTCCCTGGCACACGCATCCATGCTGGAGGCAGGTACAGCGAGAGTGACTTCCTGCATGCGATCACATGAGTGGTGCACATGTGCTGCAGCGGTGGAATGGGTCTCTGCAGGCATGCCACGAAAGATGCCTCCGTCCCAGCCGGTGTGTTTCGTTAGGCGTATCGAGGCTTAGCTCAGCCTGCAAGGCCGGCACTGCAGGGTCCAAGACACGGCCTGCAACCACAATCTGCAGTTCCACTGTCAGGTTGGCCAGGCAACTCGTGCACAACAGAAATCAAAAGAACCTCTGCAGGAAGATCAGTTCCACTCAGACGACAGCTGGTCCCTGCAGCGGAAGAGCCAGAGCCTTGAGGGTTCCTTGCATGTGTCGCGCAGACAAGTGGCTGCCGAGGCTGGTGCTGCCAACACTTCCAGGTGGCCTGCAATTCACACCGAGCGCTTCCTGCACCCTACGTACGGATCTAAGTGCGCCGCGCCGTTTGCCGTGCTTCCCCACTCGATGCCTCCGATGGCTTCCATTGGGCCCAAGGATTGTGAGGCTGGGCTGAAGACAGCCCACGACACGTGGAGCAAGGCCAAAACACACTGGTGCTGCCTGGGGCCCAGACCGAAGCCAAGACAGCAGACGTGAGACAAGGAGATAAGACAGGAGTGCTAGGACATCTTTCCCTGAGCTTCAAGCTGGACACGAAGTGGATTGTCGTGCCAGGCTCCAATGAGCATAAGGGCTGCAAGTACGATTGCTTTGAGGAGTCTCGAGCCTATTCCTCTCACCAATGCTATGGGGGAGAACCGCAGAAGCCTGCTGCCTTAGGCTGCACGACTGGCAAGAGGGTTGGCCTTTGCAGAAGAGGCTCGAAGGAAAAGACATTTCGCCCACACGATAAAACACGCGGTTGCTTTCAGCCCAAAGAGCAGCCACGTGGCAAGGGCCTGGTGCTGCGAGCACGCCAAGCTGGGCTGCATCAAACCCGATGAATCGGCTTGCCAGCTGCAGGTACCGCGCAGTCGGATCTCAGTGGATTCTTACACATGCTTACCGCATCTCTCTGGCTAGGCAGGGGAGACCCCTGCGCACTGGACGTCGGTGCGGTGCTTGGCTTCCAAACGCTCTCGCGCGTTTCTCTGCGCATAGCCCAGCAGTGCCTTGCCCGAGGTGAGGCGGCACTACTGCTGCAGAATTCAGTCGATAGGCCAGTCCGGCCTCGCGCAGGCTGTCTTGAGGCATTAGAGGTGTGCAAAGACTTTTGACAGGCTGTTCGCACACCACGCCCACCCCATTGCCCGATGTGCTGGCGCCTTGGAAATGTCGACGACATCGCGTGGACCATTGAGTTTGCAGCTTCTGGAAGGGAGCACCCGCACCACTGCACGGGAAGGCCGTTCGCTCAAGAGGGGGATCTCTTTGGCAGTTTAGGGCTGCAGATGCAGGCACTGGCCGCTGGAAAAGATCAAGCATCCGTGGCAGCATTCAGAGACTCTGAAGTTGAGCTGAAGTTGATACTCCCCGTAACCTGTAGGAGTCTTGCTTCGAGGTGGTGTTGCTTGGCCAAGAAGATCGGTTGCAAGCTCTTGGCCAGCACGACAACCACCACAGAAGTGCCAGATCTTTTCGACTGCAAGGTAGGAGACTTGTGGAGACTCGTGGAAGCCTGAGAGTCCCTAGGGACTGACTCTTGAAGCTGCGAGGCTGGTCTCAAAAACTGGGAGGAGGGATGGTCACACAGGAAGAAGGCCATTGCAGGGTCCTTTTCCAGGAGCATTTGCTGAAGTTGTGGCTCCGTGCCAGGCTTGGTGCTGCAGTCGGAAGCACATAGGATGTGCTTTCGACTGCCGGCAGGACTTGAAGACGTGGCAGGCAAGCAGAGCTCTCTCGACTCTGCAGCTTTGTGGCATAAGTGAATCAGGTCAGCTGGACGGGTCTTCAGAAGACCTTCTGCTGCCAGCATTTTCACGTTGGCTGCGTGGGTGGACGCTACGACTGCGCTGCGGGCAGGACAATCTTGCATATTGCGGCTTTTGGGTTAGGACGGGTAGAGCCCTTGAGAATTTGAGGACATCAACGTGGCCAGGCGAAAAGCGGCACTGGTGCTGCAGGAGCCGGAGCTGCATGTGCTTGTGACTGCTTGTGTGTTTTATGTTCGCCCATTCTCTCATTCCTTCTGTAAGCCAATAGTTGGCGACGCTTGCGGAAGCGAGGCACCTGGGATTGGGCTGTGGCGACTCCTACACGCCACCGGACTGTGACCGGAGCAAGGAGGATCTACGTGATGAGCTGGCATTTTTTACAGTAAGGTCTTGCTTAGTGACTTACATGGCACAGCGTCGTAAGTACACAGATGTTGTTTTGAAGAATTGTTCGTTGAAGCGACATGATGACATGCTAAGTTTATCCGCCATTTGCAAGGCCGTTCCGGCTGATGGAAGTGCCATTGTAGACACGTGATTGGAACGGAGAAGACACAAGAAGCTCATGCTATGTCGAAGGTGCAGGTGCTGAGATGAAGAAGTGCTCGTATGCTCCGAGCCGTTTCAGTCCAATGTGCAGGAGTCCTGGTCTCCTTCCGAGCGAGAGTACTGTTGCATTGCACGTGGCCTCGGCCACTTTGCTTCAGTTGATCGCAGCAGAATGGCAACAGACAAGTTCGGAGAGCACGGGTGCATGCGTGAGAACGATCCGAGGTTGTGTCACGGGCCACTCTGTTTCGCATGCCTTTCACGGCCAGCACATTCACGAGATCGCGCACATTTCCCACTACCACCACATTCCACAACCAGTCATCCAATTCACTCACCCTGTGCCTGAGCCAAACAAGTCAATGGTTTCCTCCATTTTCAGTCATTGTCACATGCCGCTGCAAGCCGGTACCAGCCTTTAAAATTGAGGCTCTCCTCGCTCCACCCCCAGCGCCTCCTACGGTCAGTTTCCATTGCACCACAGGACGGGTTTTGCAAATGCCTTCTACTCGGTTTGGCGAGCCGGCGAAGCCTTGCAAGGCGAGAAGGACACGTGGTCGGCCATCCAGCGCGACTGGTGCTGCAAATATGCGAACACTGGTTGCGATGTGCATGAGAGAGCCTTGGCAGCTATATTTGCATCCTGGCATCCTGACATCTTCAGAAACGGCATGGGCAATCACTTCTCTGCTGGAGGTGCTTCGCACAACGGCTTCGACTACGACTGCAACTCTCATGACGACTGGGAGGTCTGGTCTACCAAGCAGAAACAGATGTGCTGCCGGGACTACGGCGTCGGCATTCTGGTCGCACCCGATGACCCCCCAGCAGTTTGCGTTTGGGGTACGCTGAGCAGCCTGCGGACCGAGGCTGTCCTGGATGGAGCCCCCACGTCCCTCATGTCGCTCATGTGGTTCATTCCCAGAACCCTCAGATAGCTGGCGACTCCCAGATAGCTGGCGACTGGGCAGCAAGGCTTTCTCAAGGGTCACTTACGTTATCTGGAGCTGGTGGGCCCTGACCCAAGGTCTCGCAACACATCATTTCCACTTTCATTGCAATGCTGACGACCCCGCAATGGCGGCGTGGTCCGTGCAGAAGCAGCAGTATTGCTGCCATGACTATGGAGTTGGCCGCATGTCTGGCAATAGCCGTGCTTCAAAAGGTGCAGCGCAAGCACGGGAACATGCAAAATCCGCCAGGCAACGACTCAGCCTCACTACTGCGCCACTTACTTAAGGACGGCATGACAAGGATGCATGAAGATACTGTGTAGGTTCAAAGGCCCATGTTCAGGTAACTCAAAATACCTACAACATAGGTACATGCACACGTCTGCCCACGAATGCACCTTTGACATGGACATGTGCATGACATGCGTGTAGCTGTACGTCTGATGGCAGCAAGCCAAGGCTGCCCTGACGCTCAGTCTGCGTCTGGCCATGCTTGGCACGGGCAGGTTCCATGGGATTTCAAGCACGACAGAGTCCACTAAAGTCCCTTCTCGTTGGGTGCGGTGTCTTTTTTTACTAGCCTTCTGACACGGTCTGTGCTTGTTTGTTTTTCTGTGGTGGCCAGGTGCTGCCTGGCTACAAGTTCAACTGCTTGGCAGGCGCATTTGTCGCCACAAGCACCTGCTGAAGCATTTCCAGAACACACACTACAGGTAAAGCCGGTAAAGCCTTGCAATGAACCTTGTTGAGACGCTGGTAGAAAGCCCAACAGTGCCATGTCACTGCCCGGGGACCCGGGCCCTAAGATGTCCGGGCAGCAACCGCAGGTGGCTTTCCCCACAGCTGGTCGCTCCCGAAACGAGCTTGGTGTTGCAAGCACGAGAGTTTGGGCTGTTCCGATGCTGCAAGCTGCTTGTCGGCAGTGGTCACGGCCAGAGTATGGAAGCGTCTCAGACCACGAGCGGCGTGCTTGTAGGCTACGACTGTCGCCCTGGTGCCGGTGGCGCAACCCGGCTGCACAGTGCTCGCATGGTGGCAGGTGCCATGGCCATCGCGGACCGTGGAACTTTTCGGAAGTCTGAGGCCTGGCCACGCGCCAAGGCACAGTGGTGCTGTGAGCACGAGAACGTCGGCTGCGGCTCTCTGCCTCCGCGTTACGACTGCACGGATGGCGTGGCGAGCTGGAAGGCCTTCAGCGCGGACTTCCGCGCACCTCGCCGGTCTTCCCGCTTTCGGATTCTTCCTGAGGAGTGGCCACCTGGAAAGCGAGAGTACTGTCGTACGCTTGGACTGGGATTCCTCTGTGTCTGGATCTCGGCTAATCGCAACATGCACCGCTCAGGCTGCGACTCCGTGAAAGTGGGTTGTCCAAAGCCGATCCAACCCTGGATCGCACAGCTGCTAACTCCATCGGCACAGCATGAGCTGCACAACGAGGCCTGATATGGGGAAAGACCAAGCACGGCTTGGCCAGGGCTTGTGCTTGCTGGGAGCACGTGTCATGAGGACGTGAGAAGGAGGTCACGGCACCCAAAGTACAACTGCGCGTGTTGCCTGCTGGTTTGCATGCTGATTTCTCCTGGACAATTGCGTCTAGATGTCCTGTGTATGGAAGTTGACCAAGAGAAGCTTGCCGGCCTTCCCAGTCTTAAACAGTACTTGTTTGGAGTTCGGACTTCAACCCGACTGTCTGGCAAGGGCATCCCTGATCATCTTTGCCTTGTCTCAGCCATCCGTGCGTTGGGGGAAGTGTTTTGAAATGCCAACGCCCTGCATATGCCAGGGCAGGCCTCAGTCATTGGCAGGACGTGGGACTGTGCCACAGTAGAAAATCTCTCGCCACCGTTCGAGAGCTTTCGGACTCGGAGGACGGCTGGTCAAAAGCGAAAGCAAGCTGGTGCTGCCCAGCACTTGGGGCACGGCTTCTGGGAGAAAGGCTAGAATCCTTGACGGCCCGAGGTAAGTACAAGGGCTATGGCTGCCCCTTCCTCTGCCATGGCTCGGCCGAGCAGCAAGCCGAGTGGAGTCCAGAGAGGGCTGAGCTGCCGCCTCAGTTGACGCCCTGATGCACCAATCGAGGAGTCAGAGAGAGCCCAACCGACCGAGGTGGTGTTGCAAGCAACACGATGTCGCTTGCCGCTTCATGACCAAGTACCAGGTCAACGGCTTAAACGAGCTTGACTTGAATCACCAAGGCACTCCTGGGGCACACATCCAGTCATCTTCGGGAGTATCTTCGGGTATAGTCTGGAACCCTCCGTCCCCTGGGATCCTTGTCCTGCAGGCACATCCGTCCTCGCTGCAGCCGGTCTTTTTGTCACCCTGGTGGCCATCGCGACAGTGGGGCGCCTGCGCGCAGCAGGTGCCGCGAAGCACGACGAGGCACCTCGAGCATTGTTTGGAGCATGGCATCATGATGAATGTACCAGGTTTTAGGCATGAGTGACTTGGAGCTCTCCGAGTGAGCTTTGAGCGCTCGTCAGACACCAGAGATGCTTCCGTTTCGGAAACGTGTCTTTTTCGTTTCACCATGTAGGCTTCTTTGATGCGCGGGAAAGCTCGTTCAGCCAAGTTGTGCATCCCGCTTATCGGCGCTCCGGCAAAGTCCCGGCAAGAGGCATTGTAGGGCTAATGTACACGGTTTCACCCAGCCTCAGACATTTGAGGCGATGCTATGCCATGCACTTCCACCTGCCCAACTGATGTTTTGACTTAAGCAGAAAACCCTCCGCAGCGTGTGGCACGCTTCGCCCCAACTGTGCACAGCCAAAGGCGCTGACAGGGCTGGACTGGATTTTCGAAGACTGCCGCTTTCTGCTTTTGTGTTCGTGCAGTCCTACATTGACATACTCCTACCACTAATTGCTGTGCGGAGGTGCAAGGGTGACAATAGCAGATCCGCTCAGATTCTGCACGGGTACAATCCTGCAGTCAGCTGCATCTGGACCCAGACAAGAATGGGCCAGACCGGTCGAGAGATTTGATTGCTCTCGAAATGACACCGTGCATTAGTTCCGTTTGGTTTGCTGGCTGCAAATTCAGCAGCATTTCAGCGGTGATCTAGGCTGACTCAGCCTACGCAACCTAAAGCGCCGGCGACATCAGGTGGATGTGGAGATGCTCTACCAGATGCTGCGCGAAACTGTGGGTGCCTGACCAGATGAGCGAGCAGGCACCTAGCAAGGTACTCGTACTGCACAACACTGGCAGCCACGGCGTGTTTGCAATGATCTCTCTTCGGGAAGAGATTCTTTGGCGCACTTGACCTGCGTAATCAATGTGATGGTTTGCTCCATATTAGTCAGCGGCGGGCTTTACAAAGGAGATGATGAATTGGTGCCATCATGGGCCAACGAGGAATCGCATACTCGTGACACATGACCAGATGATTTAAGTTGAACTTAAATCATCTCGTCATGTGTCACGAGTATGCGATACTGTTGTGGCCGTCGGCACCGGATACAAGGAATAATGATGTTGCGCGAAAAAATGAACACCTGACCCGTCCCCGCAGGAAGGTACCTAAGAGCCGACAAGAATTGCATGCATTGTCCTTCGCTGACCAACTCCCTCCCAGTCCCCTGCAAAGGTGGATGTGGCTTCCGACTCCCAAGAGTTTTCTCTACCTCTCACTCTGTCTCCTCTCTGCCTCTTTCACTTTCTCTCTCTCTCTCTCTCTTCTGTCTCTCCGTTTGCGTCCCGCTCGCCCGCCTGCGCCCAGCCTGTGCCTGCCGCCCACCCGTCCCGGCCGCCGTGCTTCCGTCGGTACCTACGTCCGTCTCTCGGCACACGAGTCCACGCGGCCAGCCTCCACACATGCATGCATAAGCAGGGTCGGGGGTGGAACTCTACCGGTTCAGTTCCCCACGTCTAAACTGCTTTCCGTCGATTGACAGTCTCGACATTAATCTCCATACATCTCCATACACTACCTACCTGCACATATGCTACCTACCTAGCTACCTCCAGTCATGTTTTCGCGCACGTCCTTGTCAGCCGAGCAGCGTCGGTCTCCGACATTGGCCAGTTGAAGCAGATAATGATGGCTTCTCATGTTCCTCGCCAGCAGATGAACCGGCGAGGCCATCCGGTCAGTCTTGGATCGTCACACTGTGCCCGCTGACTTCCGCCTGCGTGCCTTGGCATGTTACTGAGAAATGTTGAGAATGGTTTTGACCAAGACGATGGGTAACTTCATCATGATGCTGCATGATGATGACGTGCAGCACCTGACGCTACTCGTACTACTATAAGTTCTATAAGCGATACACAGCAGCCTCCACAGGCTATCGAGGACCCAGCACGCCGTTAAGCTTCACATACAGTACTTCCGACGCAGGCAAGATCGCCCTCTGGCAACATATTCTTGTCGGTTCTCATTCTAGGTGAACAATTGGAATGCCAGTAGGGTTCCGACTTGAGGGCAAGCACCCAGTCCAATCTGCACAGCAGCATTCAGCTATCCAGCAGAGGAGCTTCAAGAGTATCGCTATGTTTATCCAGGTTTTTTCGCGGTTGCGGGGGGCAGCTGCTTCGGCACAGGCAACTGCAACGTCATGCAGCTCGTGAACCAGCTGATGTGGAGCATGAAGGGGGCAGACCGCACGACCGTGCTGGCTGCAGCTTCGGGTGTCGGAGGGCGCGCAGAAAAGAAGCTGCCGCACGCCGTGAGCTCTCGTGTCCCTCTTCGGGGAGTGCTCAACTGTGCAGGCTGGCCGGGCTTCTAGAGCAGGAGCTCAGGGCCGATGTCGAGGCCCACCGAGGGCACCCGGCTTGGTTTCTCGGCTGTGGCTGTGGTAGGTCTTCTTGACCTGATGACATCCTGATGATCCTTCCATGCTCGTGACAGCTGGGGTGCCGGGGCAGGAGGGACGTGTACATGTGAGCGATGCCCCGCGGCAGCTTCTCAAGAAAAGCCCAAAGGGGCTTAGAGATCATTGATCCGTAAATGTCCACAACGAAAGCTCATTCATGGGCTAGCAGAGGGCTTTCGAGCCAACAGTGCCGCCGTGGAAGTGGTTGGTTGGTCAGTTGAAGCGAGTTGAAGCCAAAGCTACTGCCAACGAGAGATCCCAGCTCAGTGCCTGCTCTGGCCATGAAGCTCACTGATCTGCTGACCTCTTTTGGAACAGGCGGCCGGTGACAGCAAGGTGCTTTGTACATGTCTTGGGATTGTGGGTAGCAGGCAGCCAGAACCGGCGGCTGACATCTTTCCAAGGCTCCATACCCAGATCCATGCCGAGGGCGCGATTCCGCGTTCATTACGTGGTTTACCGAGGCCTTGGAAATCCCTTCGCTCCTCAGGGTGGCCCTGCTGGCCCTGCCGGCGGCGGTGCTGTTGGAGGTGATTCAGGCCGGAAGGGCGAGCACCATCGTGAGGAAGGGGCCAAACGCTGGATTTTCGGGACTTGAAGGTGACTGGTGGCAGGACGAGTCGGGCAAATGGCACTTTGGAGGCCATCGGCTTGAATCTCCTATCGACCAAATAGATGTGTCGCGAGCAGAGGTGAGGCAGAGCACTGGTGGCGTGACGAGCACCACCAATGGCACAAAGGCTTGCTGAAATCACAAGCCTTGCCAACGCGGGCCGGAAGCGCCCAACAAGTCTCATGCCAGATTCGACAGGTGGGGAAAGCCAAACGTGGCGGCAGGATGAGGCCGGCAACTGGTGGGGGCGTCGGTCCGAAACGGCAACCGCAGGCTGCGAACCTGAGTTTGAGTTCGCCAAGGCACGAGGTCGACGACGAAAACCCCAGGGAGTCAGAGGAGTTTCGGCTCCCATGTGACTGTTTCTAGCTGTTCTAGATTAGATGGAGCAGCAGATGTAAATTGGGGCGGGCGAGTGGCAGCTTCTGTTTTCCAGGACGAGTTAATGATGGGCGGCAACCCTGACATGGGTGAGCCGCAGCAGGACATTAAAGAGCCTGTGCCTGAGGCAACTGCAAAGCTGTGAGAGAAGTTCGACAACCTGACGTCTCAGTTTGGACGCCCTGAACGATGCGCTCAGAGAAGACATGCCGCCGATGGACCCCGATTCACCCATGGATCAGCAGAGCGTCAGTGTTGCACATGCTGCCATGTCTGGCATGCCTCTTGTAGATGCGCCATATTGATGACATGCTCGTGCCAAGTAGCCGATGCTCGGGTGCTGCAGTTTAGCTCGAAGAGGGGCTGCGTTTTTCCATTCCGTGCTTTCGTATGACTGCAACATTCAGAGGCAGGGCGCCAGTCCATATTGGTTCCGCCCGCATGTGAGTGCCCCCGAACAGATCTGTGGCGCTGATGAGAGGGCAGGCCTCTGGCATTCTTCAGCCGCTGAGTTTTGTGATATTGAAATCAATTGCAGGCTGTGGCAGTGGCCGGTGCTGTGCTTCTCCTCGCGGTGCAGGCGGGACGCCAAGATGTCGGGAGCCCCAGCATTGGCTCTAGCTCCGCATCGGTGCTTTGCAGAGGAGCGTTCCAAATCGTACATCGCTATGCTGTGTGACTGTGTGTCTTCCGACTGAAAGGACTGTAGTCCTGGGGCCTGCTAGGGTCACGTCTCCATGAATTCTCCATGAATGCGGCCTTTGTCATGGGCTTCTCCGGTGGCTCCAGGGCCTCCAGGGCTCCAGGGTGCTGATTACAGCCCAAACGCGAGCTGATTCTCGGTGACAGGGGTCCTTGTGCAAACATGATCGCATGGGATGTTCTGGATTAGATCACAAGTGTGAAGTGGCGCACAGTGTCTTCTGTCGCCGTTTACAGCCGAGCTAGAAATCTGAATATCTACCTTCGCATTGGCTGCGACCTACCCAGTGGGTCGACGGCCGAGGCCACGGACATCTTCCATCCTGGCCATGAAGCGGTGCACATAACGCGGTGATGTGCTTAGAAGGCTAAGAGTCGATGCTACGAGAGCTCTCGGCTTTCGCGAAGTGTTTGCCGAGACTCCATCGCTACGAGCACGATGGCATGGCATCGTTCCTAGAGGCACAAGACTGTGTGGGCATGGGATGAAAGCTCCGTCGCCCTTTTCTGCAGGCTGAAGCTCGATGGAAAGGATCTCGTGAAGAGGCCCCAGATCGCACCTGGAGCACTTGGGACTGGGCACTTGGGGCAGGTTGTCTCCCCGCTGCTCTCGCGAGCTAGATCCAAAAGGAGTGCCAAGCCGAAGGCGAGGCCACGACTCAGAGGATCCACATTCCAGGGCTTCTTGCCATCTCAGAACCCGGTCCCTTTCCAGTTCTCTCCAGGGCTTCCTCCGTGTCTCGCAGACCCAAGCTCGGAGCTCAGCATCTGAGTTGGTGGGATTTCAGGAGTCCTTGCAAGCCCGGCATAGAGGGCTCAGCTTTAATCTTCATCACCTCGAGATGGTCTTTGTGGTTGCTCAGGAGGCTGCGCTGAAAGCCCACCAGACCGCATCCCTTCTTCAGGCTGGTGCCGCTGTGACAGGAAAAGTTTCAGCCCGTGACAGGGTCACCAGTCTGCGCGTAGCATTTTTCGGTCGCTTTCGTGATACCTGGTTTGACCGAGGGTAGTGCAAGGGCCCGTCACCCGAAGGAGCTCGAAGACGCACGAGCAAACTCGTCCACGATCGGCGGCTTTTTTAGGACAGACCAGAGAGAACAAGAAGAACTCCTTTGAGCTGCTGCCGTTGCAAGGAACGAGGGCAAGGTGCTGAGGCCGCACCACGGGGAGAATGATTGGTTTTGCAGTGCCAGCCGTGCAAGCCGTTTCCGGCGAGGTACCACGGTCTGGAGATCCCCAACGAGAACCATCCTGCGGAGACACGGTTAACGAGTCTGGAGAGCCAGTCCGCTGCACAGAATTTTCGATTCGCTGTGATGCTCTCTAAGAAGCAACAATCGCTGGCTCCTGTCGCCAATATCGTCCTTAGCATCTACAGCGTTTCTGCCCACTCAGTCCGACATGGAAGGTACATCGGCCAAATAGGCGTTGGCGCGAGCCTCGGTTGTGTTCGGTACGTCCATCCGGCCGGAACCAGCCCGCCTCGCTCATCAAAGCTGAGGCTCCGTGCTCGCACCGAAAGGATGCACGCCTTCCAGCGAGCATTCCCGGCTCGCTTGCTGCTTACAGTGCCGCTTTGAAGCTGCGCGTCCGTGCTTGAAGGTCTCTGATCTATCTTGGGCCTGCAGATTATGACAGCGCGACAGAGGAGCGTCCGTGACAGCAGTTGCTTTGCATCACCTGGTTGTCAGATGCTGTGCAGAGGAACAGAAGAACACATGCCACGTGAGCTTCTCAGTTCCCGGTCTTCAACCTGTGCGACCGTTCGAAAACCGGACACGCAGGTCCGCGACCAGTCTCTGGTCTGGGTCGTCTTCGACACAGGCGCCAAGCCGCGGAAGGGCAGCATCTGCAAAAGTAGCCTTCGAAGTCGCAGGGAAACTCTGGGCTTGTGATGGAGGGTTTGGAGAACACTTACATGGTCTCCATGGAACCAGAATGAACCAGATCTGGCCTCGGCAGATTAAAGAACGAGTGACCTAGCGAAGCTTTCCCAACATGTGCCCCGACGGCCTGGAGTAGCAGCCCGCATCCGGGTCCTGGAAGGCAGTACCAATATCTGGGTGTCGTCAGTCCTGTGCCTCGGGCCCAGGAAGGAAGCGCCTTCAGGCGCAGGCCAAGTCCGTACAATCTGCCTGCTGAGGCACCAAGGGGCCCTGCGCTAACGCCGATCGGAGCCGCTATGATCGGTCGCTGGGGCCTCTGAAACTCTCGAGTTTCTGGTGCGCCGAAGTTTTCCAAAGTTCCTCGGAGTGTATTTGGCTGCTTTCACTTTGCGCACCTCTCAGGCTGTCCAGGACGTACGCTCCGGGCCCAGGCTGGCGGCCGCATGCGGCCGCAGCTGCTTGGTCGGGAAGTCATTCGAAGCGCCAGGTGGGACCTTACAGATTGAGTTCGGAACCGGGCGGATCACCGGCCCGGAGGCCCGAACCTGCCGGAGCCTTAGGAGGCCATGTTTGCTGTTGTCCTTGTCCAGGCCGTCGACGACTTCCACATCGGACCGTTCTCGGTTTTCAACCAGACATTCGGCAGGGGCCCCTTTTCGGTCCTTTTCGGCTTCCTGCATGTTGAAGTGTGTCAGGGATGATCGAGTCCGAAGAGGGCCGGGTCTTCGAGGAGGCGTCCGTCCGCCGACGCAAGGAGAGGAACGCAGACCAAGCACAACACTAAATCAGGTGCCCGTGGAGGGCATCCTCGGATTGGCCTTCCCAGCCATGGCCGCACATGGTGCGCCGGGGCTCGGCTAAGCCGCTGTGTCGGGGATCGAAAGCAGACCGAAAGACACGTCCTTTCGGTTGACATGCTCGTCTTCATTCACACTCTCCCACGGGCACTGTGCGAGGCATTCGGCCTTTCGTGGATGGCATCATCGAGAACAAGGTGCGAAAAGACCGTCGGCCCGTCGTATCGCAAGGGTCTGACCAAGACACAACAATGACATAAATACAGGAACAACTACAAAACATCAACAACATAGAAAGACACATGTCCGATCGTATCGCTCACTCGGTTGGCAACACAGTGTTAAACAAGTAAACTGAGATTCCATGCATTTTTAGATGTTGACATCTTGTCCTCCCTCAACCCAAAACCTTCCCAGGCCATAGGTCGCAACGAGTTTGCGTTTTACTTCAGCACGCTCCTCAGTCGGAATTCCTGGTCCCACTATGTCCCATTGGCCCTCTGAGCACGTGAGCAGCGCACTCCGCTTCGAGGTCCTGATGATCCGGCGGGCAATGCGGTTTTCTGGGGCGGAGTCGCATGCTCGGGATTCTTCATGCGTCCTGTGTCTGCCGAGCTTGGAATGCCAAGGTGGACAGATCCTTCTACCATGGTGAAATCGAGTGCCGCCTCTCTCGATGCACAGACTCATCGGATGGCTGTAATCCGTGCCGTGCTTTGTGTTTCCGTGGGTTTCCGTGTCGGTCTCTACGCCATCCTTGTTTCACTTTGCTCTAGATGTCAAACTCTGCCTTACATACTGCCAGTATCCGACCTCGAGCCATCTCGGTATGATATGCATGTAGATCGTCGCACATTGCAAATTCTAGGAGCAGTCACACCGCTTTGTTGGAGAGGCAAACTTTGCCAAGCCGATAGGAAGTCCCACCATCAGCCCTAACCGGGAGATTCGGTGAGAACACCTGAACCTCCTCATAAGAACCCGTGTATCAGGCATCAGAAACGGTTTGACGTTCGAAACCATGGACAACAGGCCCAGACACCAACAAGCTCTGACCCCGACAAGATAAAGCTCGGATCCGCGAAAGAGTTGGGAGCAAACCGGAACCAACGAGCCCTCGCTGGACTCCAAACAGAGCCTTCCAAGCGAAGGCAAGTTGAGACAAACAGGTATTTTCCCGTTGTTCAGCCGTACTATTGGGCCGCCAGGACCCCAGGCCTTAGTTCCTTGACTCTCGCATGCTTCTCCTCCCCGATGCCCGAGATTGAGCTGGTCGACTTCAAAATCGGCGAGGACTCGCTTCTGCATCTACTGCTGCCCGAGGCCTTTCCCGTGCTTGGGCGTAGCCGGATGCAACAGCTATCAACTATCAACCGTTGCAGCTGCAGGCGGAGGAGACTGAGGAGACCCCGGACCTGGAGCACGAGGGTCCTTCAGGCCTTAGCGGATGAAGTTCACCGTTCGCTGGAGCTGTGGGATGCAATGCTAGGTCACAAGAAGCACCGTCATCACGGTGCTGGGGAGCCCATGTTCAAGGAGAGGAGTCCACAAATTCTCTCGTACCACCTCATTGACACTCCCAGAGGCAATCGTGGACACCGGCACCACGTTCTTCACGGCTCAGGCGCACCCGCTGCCTAAAAAAAGCCTGACCGGGCCGGCTTGGGTGGGTTCTTGGGCAGGGCCGGCTCTTCAAAGAGACGATGAAGCGCCTCGCAGCAGGGCCCTGCCACAGGCCGACGCAAGCTATGCAACGGATACTGCAGCTCCGGTTTCTCTGACGGTCCCCGTCTTGCCCTGGCGCAGCCTGACCAAGCAGAGCCACCCGGACATCACCTACACCTTGAAGAACACCGCTGGCCAAGTTCGTGCCGTGCTTGATGTTGCTGTTTTGCCCGTGGAAATTCCGGACGTTCAGACGATCTTAGGTGATTTCGTGATCTCCAACAAGCAGTACATGCTGTCCAGCCAAGAAGGCCTGGTCATCCTGGATCCAGGCTTACTGCTCCGAAGTTTTTTCAAGTCTGACTCGGGGTCCTCAGCGCCCCGGGCCCCTCGGCCCCTCGTCCCCGGAACTAGTTGGTCAAAGAAGCAGGGACCCGGGATTGAAGTCGTGTAAGTTTGGCTTTCACAAGCTTCACGGCCTAAGTCCCCAAAACCCTTCAGAGCCCGACAGATACACGCCAACCCAAGCCCTGCACCAAGCCCGAAAAATAAAAAAAAGTAGGCCCTGAATCTCTGATCGTCAATCTGCGGTTGCGAGTGCAGTAAACTTTAAGGTCTGGAGATCGGGCTCGCGGGTTAAGGCCTTAAGGTCTGCAATCAGGTTATTCAGCAGTTTTTTTGCCTAAGCCTGGGGTCGAACCAGCACAGATGAGTCATGCTGCAAGGATTCCTGATCAGACTGCCCACGCTACTGTGGGTCCTACGAGCTTGTGCAAGCACACCCGCAGACCGGCAGCTGCCTGATGCGTCAGTTGCTGCGGAAAGGGCAGCTGGAGAGACTGCAAGTGTGGGAGCGTCGCGCTACCGAGCTCTACCTGCTACTTTCGCTTTTGAGGCTCTGCCTCTCGTTAGCACTGCTCACCTCTGGTCGGGGCGGCGAGGAGAAAAACTTGCTTCCTACGGTAAGGAGCCGCCTCCAGTGGCCTGCGAGGATTGTCGCAGGCAGCTGGTGAGAACGGTTCTCATCGGGCCGTGCCTGTGCACGTACATGGTACAGGGGTACTTGGATAAGCCCAGATGCCAGCACCCTTCAGGTTGTCAAGGGTAACCAGGTCGTGATTCGTTTCCCAAGGGCAAACTGCATGTAGGATGCCCGGCGCCCCAAAAGCACATGGCAACAGGCGATGACTCAGAGTGCACGCCTGCCTTCATGCTCATCGAAGTCCCTCGTGCCCATGGTCCTGGCATGGTGTTGGGCGAGGCAGGAGAGTGGTGAATAAACGGTTCTGCTTTTGGCGGTCCCTCAAATTATTGCACGATTTTCTTTGTTCTACTTCCCCCAAGCTGCTGGCAAGTGGTTGGTTATGCTGCAGTGCAGGTGTTTCTGCGGATCTACTTCTCTGTCTTCGATCGAGGGAGTGGCAGCGTAGATGAGGCCCACTGCGCGCTCACGAGCACACGACCGCCCGTGTCACGGCCATGCTCGGCTACCCTGCTGAGGCTCGCATTGGCTTTGCAAAAGCAAACAGTGGAGCGGATGCCAAGAGTCGCCTCAAGGACGCCGGAGGGGGTGTGCTCTCTGTGCTAGCCGCAGCCGTTCCGGAATCCTTTGCAGGGCTTGACCTCCAACCAACCGGTGTTCCACCGCATCTTGGCTGCACGCACATAAGTTCGCGAGAGTGCTCGACAAGAAAGGCTTTCAGAAAGGGTTGGTCAGGCGCTCTGCGCCCCCCCCCCCCACCAGCAAGCATAGGCTAACCCCACACCTCAATGAATAAATACAAAAGCAAGATTTGAACGCAAAGTTAGAAAAGCTTTGATTCTAAAACTTTTATATAATATGAGTGACGATGTTTTAACATCCTCAGGGCGAAGCCGTGACGTAGATGATGAAGTAGTCAAACCCATCAAGCGCATTGGCAGTCAAAAGATTTTTAGAGAAGTTAGAACTCATTGAAAAAAGATTGATGAATTGATTAATAAACAGAAACATTTTAAAAAACCAGTGGATAAAGATAGTGATACTTATAAACTTATACGAATAAGAGAAGCGCATATGATACTTATAAGAATAAGAGAAGCGCATATGTTAATAAATTGAATAACAAGGATATAAAGTTTCCAAAGAAGGAGACATTAGAATATTATGAGATTAAGTTTGACGACCAAGAGAGAGAGAGAGAGAGAGAGAGAGAGAGAGAGCATATTAAAGCCATTTTGGCTCAAGGTGATCTATATCCTGTCGGGCGACATCGCGCTCATCGCAGACTCGAAGAGGGGAGTCCGGGGGGCTTGTCCCCTCTCTGCTGT